TGACACATGAAAATTCTGACTTATTTGGCCAAATATGTCTATAATATAGCCTCTCTTAATGGACACTCTCTATAGCGTACATTCCTTACTGTATAAAATAACCTCCACATAAAGGACACCTCTGTATAACAGAGACACTTTCAAAGTGTCCATTATATAGAAGCTAGTCTGTATATGTATTTACCAATGTATATCTATTTCGTTTTAATTATAATATCTTGTCTTTATATTATTCTTCATTATCTTACCATAATTGGTCCACTCCTGATTTTTACTTCATTAATCCCATCACCATGGTAACAGTATTTACCTCAGACGTTAGTAATTCAACACTCCTCTGGTTTACAGGATGCATTAATTGATTTAGCTTCACTTTGATCTGTTTCACTCAGGACAAGAATGCCACTATATACATACTAATACCATTAGGTGTATACTGTCTGTAGAATCACATGTATACATGTACATGTATTGTAGCTAATGAATGAATGAGACATGAAACAATACATGTGTGTGTACATGTACATGTACTTTAGCATGTACAATTTTTTAGATGTAATATAAAGAACATTTAATGTATAATAATAATAATACATATACCATGTACATGTACATATAATTGTGCCTGAGGTAAAAATTGACAGGTAAAAATATACATGTATTATATTATAAAGCTTTATACTATACAGTATTGAGTTTAAAGAGCATTAATTAGTATATTGTATATGTATCCTATTACATGTACATGTACATGTACATGTACATGTACATGTAGGTACTGTAATACATGTTAGTATTAGTAATATAATATATATTATGTACTTGTGTTGTATAAGATCAATGTCTCATCGTTATTACTATCATTTTAAAAGCACTACTATTATTATGGTCTACTGCACTTCAAATTACTTTAAAAATAATCATCATAGCATTATCATTATAGTTTATACACACAATACAGTACATGTACATGTACACTAATATTATAGTATAATAAATTTAAAAGCATTTTTCTGTGTCTCCCTTTGTGATGCTCCTGTGAATAGCTCCTAATAACTTGTTGATGATAGTAACTCGCTACAATATCATCTTACATCAAAGTAAAGTGATGAGGCACTTACGTCAATCAGTTAATGATTCGTGTCCTTAGGCTACATTATTAGTACATGTAAGTGTTGTCATGTCTTTAGATTAGAATATGATTTAATTATCTGTTTATTATAAGTCACCAACTTGTCATGGACTGTCTTCCGCCTTTAGTCTTGTCTTTCCTATGTTGCTATGGTAGTGACTGTTTCATGATGATAAAGGTTGCAATTATTGTGAATTTTGATTCCCAAGCTACCAGTATATACACATTACGTCACATGTACATGTATACAGTATAGTCTCTCTTAATGGACACTCTCTATAGCGTGCACCTCCATTTAACGGACAGCACCTAGTGTACCAATTACATTCCTTACTGTATAAAATAACCTCCACATAAAGGACACCTCTGTATAACAGAGACACATTCAAAGTGTCCATTATATAGAGGCTAGTCTGTACATGTACATACATGTACATGTATGAATATAAATTACTTT